CAGTTTCTCCACATTCTTGCTACAGTATGTTATTGTCTGTCTTTTTGATTATAGCTATCCTCGTAGATGTGAAGTGATATTTCATTGTGGTTTTGATTTCCAATTATGGAATTGCTCATATAATTATAATGTTATAAAGAGTCTTATGATCTGCTATCCACAAGCTGGGGAACCAGAAAAGAAAGTGGTGTACAGTAGTCCCCCCTTATTTATGGTTTCTCTTTCCACAGTTTCTGCATGTGTATGTTATGACTAGTTTGTAGGACTGTGTATGTTCTTTATTTTCTTATTGACTGTCTCTGTAGATGTTCTGTCCATTATTAAAAGGAGAGGGCATTGGAATCTTCAAGTATTATATTACTGTAGAACTGTTTCTTTATTTCTGTCAATATATGTTTCATACATTTTCGAGCTCTATTGTTAGGTGCTCATACATTTACAGTTATTATATCTTCTTGATAAGTTGAGCCTTTTAGAGATATGTAATCTCCTTCTTTGCCCCTTGAAATAGTTTTTCATTTGAGGTCTATTTTGTCTAGTAATATAGCTAACTCAGTTCTTGTTTAGTTACTGTATTACCTGAAATATATTTCGTCCTATTTGTAGCTCTATATCTAAAGTGAATTTCTTATAGGAAGTGTGTAGTTGAATCACTTTTTTTTCTACTCCTTATGCCAGTTTTTGCCTTTTGGTTGGATAGTTTTAATCTGTTTACATTTAAAGCAGTTACTGACAAGAAGGGCTTATTTCAATCATTTTGTAATTGTTTTCTGCTGCCTTTGGCCATTTTTGTTTCTAAATTCCTTTATTATTGACTCCTTTTGTATTCAATTTATTTTTTGTAGTTGCACCATTTTGTGTGCCTTTCGTTTCATTTTTTGTATTATTTTAAAAGATATTTTATTTGCAATTGCATGGAAATACTTTAACAACTTAAGTTTATGACAATCTAGTTTTAATTGATATCAGTTAACTCTAAAATTCTACGCTTCATTACTCAGCTACATGTACTTTTGGACCTCCCTTCCAATCCACCAGCTCTCTAAGCAGAATTTCTTATTTAATTTTTTAAGTATTTTGTCCCCATAAATGTTTATTTCTGAATCAGTAACTTAGGAAAATTAGACATTTCTATGAGAAAAAATAAACAAGAAAGCACATGTAGGTTTTGAGGAATGGTTGGGTGAGTGTGTTTAAAAAAGAGACGTGCTTCATAACATGTATTTTACTAGTCAATAGGAAAATAGTAAGACTTCTTTTACTTTTAATATTATTTTTAATGTTTTTAAGGAAAAAATAGAAATTAAATCTGTCACACGTTACCACATATGCAAAGAATGTAAATATATTAAACATATTCAGTATAATTACCACAACTTGAAAATACTTTATTCACTAGCTGCAAACTTCATATACATTTACTTCTTATCTACACAGAAATTTTTACCTATGTGTATATATTAAAACACAAAACTAATGAACTTGTATAGCCCTATTGAACTTTATTCTCTATCCCTGCTTGGCCCTAAGAGAACTTAGTCCAACTTTATTGTTCTACATGGTTCATGTTATGCTGGATTTCCTTAACCTTTGACACATTATCAATGATAAGTAGGAAATTGTTACTTTTAGAAGTGTGAGAAATTCTACTAATTCTCCTGCTTTTCTATTTGATGAAATAGTTTATTAGGTACTAATCAGAAATTTCCAGAGTAAATTTTGCATTAGCAAAAACTAAATTCAAATGTTGAGCTGGTTAGCATTTATTTTTCACATTTATTTTATATTTCATAGGTTTGATACCAAGCCTCTTGGTATTCTTTTTGTGCTTTGTAAGGGTGAGGGTCACTTTGAACTTGCTCAGTTCTCTATTTCTTAGACATTGGCAGTATCTGGAAAAGGACATGAATTCCGCTGCTGGGTCAGATATGTCACCATCATGAAGTTAGAAGATGGAATAATGCAGCAGTATACTGAACTTGCTAAAATATAACAAAGTATGAGGGTGGATTCTATAACAATTATGTCCACTTTAATATTTTCCCATACAGGTAATTCCAATGTCTTGGATTTTGTCCAGATGCAAAATAGTAAGCAATGTTTATTTTTGACTTAATGTGTGTGTGTGTTTTTTTTTAAAGAGAATTCTTAAAATATGTAAGCCTTTTCGATTCTTTTCTATTTCTTTAAATGAATTTTGGATTTTTCTGATGCTGCTCTAAATCTAAAAACCTGGGCTGTTTTAACCATCTGCCTAGTAGTCTGAGCCAGTGTTTGCCTTTAAACAATGGAAAGATTCACACTGAACTTTATAAACAAAGGGTAGAGTTAATTTTTAAGGCAAATTCTTTCAAACCTTAGCAAATATGAAAACACTGGCATGACTATTTAAAATGAATCCCACCGAATTTGATTCTGTGGATTATTGGATAATTCTTACTGTCAAAATGCAGACAAAGGGGTGAAAATCTTCTCTCTCATATTTCACTCTTGTTTTATTATTATTGTTTAAATTTTTGTACTTAAAAAATCCTGCCTATAGGTCTCAGTTTCAGAGCCATGAGTAGTGAGTGAATGATGCCAGTTTTTCCTGAAAAGCATTGAAAAAATACTGTCTGAACCTTGAGTATTTCTGTGACACTAGAAGGGAGGTGTTCGGTAAGCAACACAACAATAAATATATTTACAGAAGCCAAACCAAACCAACAAAACAATTGACAAGGCCAATATTTTTCCTTAGAAATAAATGCCTTAGAAAATTCTACTAAATTTCTCTAATATGTGAAGGCCAGGAATTATATTTTTCAAATGTATAATACTTTGGTGGTGGCTGATGACATTAAATTTGAGGGCTAAACATATTTTACAGCTCAATACGGTCCCATATGACTAAAATACTAATTAATGCTAATATCACATCATTCATAAATTTTAAAACATGATAACTGTTTTTACACATTAGACTTTTTCTTGACACTTTTACATTGTATGATAAACATTCATATGTTTTAACAATGAACATTCAAAAACATTATATTCAAAAAATTAGATATTATATAATAATAAATTTCCTTATTTAAAACATGCACACAAGCTTCACAGACTTTATTGAGCACATGGCAATGCTGTAATGACTCATTATTTCAGTATTTGATTTTAATTATTTGAAGTTGTTGCATTCATAAAATGATTGAATGGATACTATTTGTGTGTTGTTATCATCAGAAGAAATTCATCTGGAACACATATCATTAGCTTGTTTAGACCTTAAACACTTCATAGCAATTGGATATTTCTGGTATTGCCTTCTAAATAGGGAAGAGGTTTGAGACACAGACCATGATATGCCATTGAATATTTGCTTTTCAAACATATTTTGTTGGTGGAGGCACAACAATAAAGTGTCAGAGAGTATTATTTTACACAAATATCTTTAAAAATCAAACTGAGTATTTTAAAGGAGAAGTTTGTACTACACATTCACATTCTCAAAAAGTTTCTGCTTTCTTGAGCAGGGTTGACAGTATCCTTAATTCAAGGAAAGATGATCTATAAGCACTAAGGTCTGGAAGATACTTTTTACACTTAAAAGTATTTCTCGTTATGTTATGGGTCTTAGAAATATGCTAGTATATATCTCCTTGTAGTAAAATTGATACTTTTTAGGACTATTATTTCTTTCTGATAAAACTTCCGAATAATCTAAGCAAATGAAAGAAAAGGTCTCTCTGTGGACGGATAAATGTTAGACTCACCCTCTTGCTCAGCTGGAATTAGTTAACATGTATCCGAACTATTGTGCAGATTTGTCTTCTAAGAGGTAACTCACCTTTCTACACCTTGCCTGGTTTACTCATATGTACCATATATTAGTATATTAGTATTTTTCTACTACATTTTCTTTTGTCACACTTACGACTGTTTTTTTTTTTCCCCTAAGGAGTTGCCTTGAAGATATTTTCTGATACCTTCTACTAGTCCTTATTCTATTTTCAGTGAGGGGAGAGGAGGAGAACACATATAGGATTCTAGGATTCTTACCTTATTTATTGGAATGTACCTTTACTGTTTTATAATCTAGCTATTTTTAAAACTGTGAAAAATAAAGAGAATGATAGGATATATATATATATATATATATATATATATATATATATATATATATTTTTTTTTTTTTTTTTGAGACACAGTCTTGCTCTGTCACCAGGCTGGAGTGCAGTGGTGCAATCTCAGTTCACTGCAACCTCCGCCTCCGGGGTTCAAGTGATTCTTCTGCCTCAGCCTCCCAAGTAGCTGGAACCATAGGCGCGTGCCACCACACCTGGCTAATTTTTTTTGTATTATTAGTAGAGATGGGGTTTCACTGTGTTGGCCAGGATGGTCTCCATCTCTTGACCTCATGATGCGCCCGCCTCGGCCTCCTGAAGTGCTGGGATTACAGGCGTGAGCCACCTCGCCCGGCACTTTATATTTTTAAGGTCCTAACTGACTACTTTTTAGCCTGGTATTTAAAAATATGTAATGGTCAAAAGTATATAATTTTTACAAATGTTACTTTCTCAGAAAAAATTATCAAGAGAATGACATGTACATTTGCCTAATGATTTAATTAGATTTTCTTTTCAGTTCAATACCATGGAAGAAATCTTTAAATCCTTAAACTTTTACATTTTACAAAATGAGTTTTCTTGAGCAAAGATTTTCAATTCCTACTTCTTGGGGTTAATTTTTTATTACTGTAGTGGGAAAATGATTCATTTACCTTTATTTTCACCCACTTTATTTCTCTAGGCAAAAAGTCCATTTTATATAGATTTTGTTTTCCTTAATTTACAACATTACATTTTAAAGAATCTTTAATCTCTTGGAAAAGCTATATGCTATTTTAATGTCACAAATGTATATTGCAATTTGTAAATAAGATAGACTGGAGAGTTTATAGGTATTTTTCAGACATATTTTTGTTTGTTGCATATAATAATATAGAGTTTTTAAATAGTAAATTTAAAACCCATTTTATTTTGTGTGGAAATTAACATTTTATTCGTGTCTTTGTCATCTTTATATCCTACCTTTCTCAGTTTGACCATAGCTGCCAAAAGTTGCCTTCTGTTTCTAGAGAGTATATAGGACAGGACTAATAAATAGGAGAATGGGGTCCTAGGCTGGCATGATGATGGCCTCATCTTTCACCTCAGGCAATGGAATTAAGAATATTCATCCACAGAGGTATAGGGTGAGCTTATGAAACTTGAAGTGGTAGAGGCAGATTTGGAATTCCTGTGGGAGCAGCCACTGAAGCTTGGGTCTGCTGGCGTTGCTCTTTTCCTCTGACTGGACTTGGCGTTGTCCGCATTGCTGGGGTCAAACACCACTGTCATGGACTCCATCCTGGTCACAGTGTACATACTGCTTTGCCGGGTTGGATGAAACCTGGTGGTCTTGAGCTCTAACTCATCATAGCTGGAAACTTCGATGAAAGGACACCAGCGAAACGCTCTCTTAAAGCCAGCTCGAAATCTGAGGAAAAGCAGGCCACAGAAAGAAAAAGTTATTTTTTCAAGCAGGTATGTGTTTCAGCTGCCACAGAAAATTCTATGTAAGGCAGTTACAACAACTCAGTTTTTGAGTTTTTATTTATTTATTTATTTATTTATTTATTTATTTATTTATTTATTTTAGCCAAACTCTTAGAATTTTTGGCACAGTATTGTTAGTTTTTTTAGTTCTTGTTTGAATTGAATCTTAATTTCCCATTACTGAGAAGCATTGATTCCCAGCAATGAAAAGCATCTCATTCCTATCAGTGAGAAGTCATCAATAGCAAACACACAGCATCAGGTAATCCAGATGTTAAGGAAATTACATACTTTTCTAACATAATTTTACACATTTACGTAAGTATAATTGAATTAGGTTGGCTAGTTAAGGCACTTAAAAATGATATATTTCAAAATAGCTTCTTTCAGAAATGATTACACATTTATAAACTCTCATTTAATGTTAGAATTAATTGCTACTCTTGATGGTTTTATCTAATCATGTATGAAAGTGCAAAATCCTTATCTTTGTAAATCATTAAATAAAGTTGATTAAAAGTGGATGTACTTATTGTGGGGTGGCGGGAATTGGCATATGGCTTATGCAATTAGTGAAAAACAAAAAGCAAGAGTTAATTAAGTATTTATCAAACTTAAGGCACAGTGTGTTAGAGCCCCGACTGAGAAGAGAGCTAAGGATTTAATTTATGCGGTTACTTACATAAAGCCCCATTTCTACTTGTAAACAAAACATATTGGCTTAGTATAGGACTTCCCAGCCCTGTGAAATTTAACCCTACCCCTACATGTGCTGACCATACAACCAAGGTTTTTTTTTTAATCTGGAAAGCAGATTTTATCCTTTTTTTTCTAGTCTTACATTTGACTATAAATATTCTTTTAATTTTTTAACTTTATGCAAATCTTTCCCTTGACCACTGTGGCTTCTTTACAAGCCATCTCCATAGAGGCTGCATGCTCTCTTATCCCACCTCACAGCGCAGGAAGAAGACTGGAGTTTCTCCTGTTTTTACGAAACCTTCCACTTTGAAGTTTATAGAGTTACAACATCTCCTTTTAAATAAAGTCCACTCACATATGCCATCATCTCTCCATCTTATAGAAATTATTCAAGAATTTCTAGGAAGTATCTTCATTTTTTTTAAGGATTTTAGCATATTTTCAATTCTCCTTCAATCATGAGGGCACTCCTTTTTTATGGTAGGCAAAATTCTGAGGTTTTGGAAAAAGAAGTTGGCCCATAGAAAAAATCATCCACTTAGAACCCCAAACCATTGTTTGGGTCATGTAATTTTTAAGGTGGGATGCTTTATAAAGTGTGTGGAGGGGGTCTTAAAAGATAAAGCCTTGTGCCTCTCTCAGTGAATTCTTAAATGTTCTCTTCCTTCTGCATTTTGAATGTGCACCAAGAAACTGAAACATTTTATGTTTCCAGCGAAGGCAGGAGTGACAATCAACTTGCATTTCATAATTTTGTTTTTTTTACCTTTTATTCAGACAGCAGTAGATGATGGGATTGTACATGGTTGAGCTCATTGCCAGCCAAAAGCTAGCCAGGTAGACCTGCTGGATGTATTTCCATCTATTTAGTTGTTGATAGATTGCAGTGAGAATGAAGTAAATATGATAGGGCAGCCAGCAGATGGCAAATGTCATGACGACAATAATCATCATTTTGACAACCTTTAAAGAAAAAAAGGTCATTTTTGACAAATATAATACTCATTAAATGTAATAGTTACAATAGCTTATTGCAAACCATGCTTTTCTGCCAATACTGTTAAATACACAGTATGCCTAGGGAATAGTAAATATATTAAAAAATGGTGAAGCAATATAGGGACAGTTGCCAAAGATAAATCTCAAGAAAATATGCTATGTCACTATTCATTTCTACCTATCTAAGTGAATGGGTAGTGCTAACTCAAACACAGACAAGTATATTTTGATTGGCCTGAAGAAAATAAGTGTTTACAAAAATCTAGAGCATCTGGAGCAGAGAGAGGTAGGAGCTGGGATGTGGCTGTGTAACCTGCATTGTATGGTAGTGGAGACTTAATGACCAGGAAACTGACTGTTAAGTCACTATGGAGGTTTACTAAGCTGCCAGGATTGGGCTTGTTCATCAGTACTCTTTTCTTAGCCTGACTATAGTTTAAGACTATTCAGATTTCTTTAACACTCTGCTCACTAGGCAACCTTATGAATATTAATTTGGTTTCTCTTATTATCTGATATTGGGGAAGGTTTCCCCTAATAGTGATTATATGTAAATATTCACATTAATGTGAGGAAAATACCAACTTGAGGTTTGCAAGTAGGTTATTGGTTTATGTAACTGTTTTATGTATTAGCTTTTATGACTTTTGTAAGCATAGGCCATTTCCTTTGATTATATACTTCTGAATGATAATAACCTGGACAGGTCTAATCAAAGTAGAATGTCAGCTTTTATTTCTCTTCCACTAAGCTTAAAATTCCTAATGTCTTATCTTTTTCACTCCCAGCATCTATCACAGTCCCTGTTATATAGCTGGATATACATATATACAGAATGGATGAATAAGAAATGGCAATGTACAATTTGTAATAGCAGGTTGAATGAAGGATGTTTTGTGTCTCTAAATGAAATAAAATCTGTTCCACTGTGTTTATAAGAAAAGTAGAATCAAAGATATTAAACATTGAGCAGCTTAGCTTTGTATTAAAAATAATATTCTCTGAGTGTCTCATTTGATATTTCTCAGAAACAATCTATCTGCTAAGTATGTTCATGGCTCTTTTGGGGATTTGGGAATAGTAAAAATTTTAAAATAAGATACTTTAAGCAAAATAATTTTGAAGCTTACCTGCAGTCAGATTAAAACAAATCAGAGAAAGCTCTGATGTAAATGGCCTATGAGGCACCTCAGAACTAGAAAAATACAGTATTTATGAAATGGACTTGTCATTTGATTGCAAATTAGAGATTCAGATGAAAGTTGGCAAGGGTTAGTCAGGCGAGACGTGATTTTAAATATAGACAAAGCATGAAATGGATCAACTTGGAAGGTAACTCTTCCCTAAGGGCCAAATCACTGTACCATTCAGGTGACCAGCATTGAGCAGGTGGAAATTGGCCATCAGAGTTGAAAATCCAGGTCAACAGCTCACAGAATGTCATCACTGGACATACCATATAACATCTTTTGATTTTTTTCAGTGTTCTTCAAATTGCATTGCTTTATTCTGAAGAACTGCTTTTGTATTTCTGCATTTTATTTCTCAGATTTCCTATTCATAATTCACGTTTGTGAACAAGTGACATAATTTAATTTACATGTATGCAACATTTTACATATTTAACAATTAATTAATTGTTTTTCAATTGCACATTAGCAAACTGAGGCAAAAACCAAAATATTTTTTACTACTCTGATTCATATAACTAAGAAGTGTCTTTCTTTAAAACTCAGACTCTTAAGTCTTTTTACCCTCTATTTATAGTTAAAAACATCTATTGAATATCTTTTGAGTTTAGAATATAACATTGAGAAAAATAGTGATTGAGAACCAATTCCTTCCCCTGAAGTTTACAATATAATGAAAAAAATGTATAATCTAAATAAAAATGCATGCATTGAAAGTGAGGAGTGTGAACATGTGCAGATAAAATTTACGATAATATTTATGATAATGTACTAGTTTATTGTAGATTAAAATAACTCAATACATACCTACTAACTGTAGGCTCAGAGGATATAAGACTAAATGAAATGGGTCTGTTGATGATTTCATTGTTGAATTAATAAATATTCTACTATTTCTTGCACAGGATAGTTAAGCTACAGCTATAGATTATTCTCCATGGTTCCTTCCTCTACCTAGAACCCCTTCTAACCATGATTCCCAGGGTTTAAGCACCTCACCTCCTTCAAGCTGTTGTACAATTGTAATTTTTTTCTTTGAGTGCTATTCTGACCAACTGATTTAAAAATTGCAATCTGCCCTTCTAGCACTCCCAGAACCTCTTAGCTGGCTCTTTATGTTCAGTTTGTTATGTTTATTCTTTATTTTGTGTCTGCTGATGCTGGAATACAAAAGAGCAAGTATTTTCTGTTTCTTTTGTTCCTTTGTATACTTCAGGCACCTAGACTGGATTTCATATATAAAGCGTACTCAGAAATTTCTTAAGTGAACAAATAAAAGTGACTGTAAAACAAAAGAGACTGAAAGATACAGACAGTTAAGTAATGTCTAAGATTTTACTCAGTCATCAATTCCTAGTATCATTTGTTTTTCATTTAAAATGAACATGTGTATGTAAAATTAGCATGGCATTTACTGCTATTTCTGCTTTCAAGGCAAACACATTTAAAAAGAGAATGAGTCCAAACATAATATAACTTTTTAATGGGGCACATGAAAGCATTACATTTCATTTTAATCAAATGTTAAGAACAAGAAAAATATCTATGAGAATGTTAACAAAAATTTTATTTGAATCATTTTATACAGACTGACTACAAACTCCCTGTACAAAATTGCTTTCTGACAATTGCATAAGACCTACTAAGGCTATCAGAGTCCTTTTAGATAAATTTCAATTGTCAAAGTGCAAAAAGTTCAGAAAAACATGCAAAAATTAAAATGCATGTGGAAAATGGGACAGACTTCAGGTAACTTGTAACTCACATACAGAGGGCCTTGAGGACTTATGAAAGATTTATAAACACATTTTAAATTTTTTAAGAAAAGTTTAAAATACCCTACAGAAAATTTTTAAAGTAGAACAGCTGCTATAATATATTTTCTGTACAATTTCTATAAAATACTGTTACCTTAGCTCTCTGGGAAAAAAATCTTGTAGTGTTATTTCAGATGGTGAACTCTCTGGACCCTAATTTTGATGTGACTGTAAAAGAAGCTTTTTAGGTGGAAAAAATTGTCTTGCTTTGTGAAATGCTGAAATCACAAAATTGAAATCACCCTCCTCATAAAATGCCAAAGAAAAGAGCGCTTTGAAGCACAAAGCTTGAGAGCAATGATAAATGTGCAGATGCTATAAGCAGTTATCACTCTGTTGCATGGCTGAACAATGGCACTAGTGCAGACAAGCTATGAACTGTTAACGAGATAAAAGAATCAGTTGGTAACTTTCAGAAATTCATTTGACTTTTAGGCAAGATGACAATCTGGGACAGAGAAGGTTCAAATCTCTCATCATGTCTTAGTAATTTTATTAAGTGTGTAGTTACCTATTATCCTTGGAAACTTAAAAGCAGAATGAAGGAGGAAGGTGGAGACATGTAATGTAGCTCCTACAAAGTTATAGTGCCTGTCATTAGCAGTTAATAATCTAACTACATAGGCAGAATGGAACTGCATGTTGTCATAGATTAGTGAGAAAAAATTTTGGATACCTTTCCTTCATGTATCGAAGGGGAAAAATCTTAGATTTTTGTATACTATACAGATTAGACTAAAATGCCTACAGCTGTTATTACCATCACATTAAATTAGTGTAGTATGGATGATTTTGAGGTTTAGGTTGTAAAAGCAAAAATTAGTCTAGGAAATTAATTAAAATGCTGACAGCTATTTAGAAAACTCTAGGAGTCATGTTCTTTGGTACAGGATTTATTCTTTCTAAATGTTTGGAATAAAAATGATCAGCTTGGTGCAACAAAAAACAAAACAAAACTTTTTGTTTTGATTAGAGTCTCCTCAGAGCATATGTTTCAAAGAATTGTCCCATGGACCACACCCTACCGCTTGTTCATAACTGTCCTCTGCACAAATGTTCTCAAATGGACATTATTTTCCTTTAAGTGAAAATTACAGGCCATGTTATTCTAAGTATAAATTAGCAGACTAAAATAATATACTCAAGGGTAACATGTTTTAAAAAATTAATAAAACATATCAACATTAAAAGTATTACTTCATAGGCTATTTAGGTTTGGCGCTTGGTGCTTCCGTTTAAAAGACAAAAGAATTTCAGTCTCATATGAGATTGAAATAAGAACTTAGTAATACCTTTGCAAAGAGTTCAGGATGACTCAGAAGATAAATTTGGCCAGTAATTTCAGGATTGGGCGAAAATATAGGCACTTTATGTGAGTGTCATCTAAGAAATTGGACACTGTTGCCAAATCTCACTAACATGTACATTCAGTTAACATTTGCCTGGAGCAATTCCTATAAGAAATTATGTCAAGCCTAAGCAAAGGAAAAAACCTGTGTGCATATATATGTGATTATTGGAAAATATTTTTTGTGTGTATGTGTTGTGTTGTGTTTGTGCTCTACTTCTTTACATTTCATTAGTCACATTTTCTTTTTAATGTAATTCTATGTTTTCATTGTAAACTTGATCTTTGAGAGCACCATAAGATTTTAGGCCTATAATGATATGAAACCAAAGGAAAAGATGGAACCACAGAAAGCAAGACAAGATTGATGGCATTAGAAAAGTAAGCACATTAAAGATTGATTTTATGGCATGCTAGTTAGAGATGAAAATTTATAGAGTCCTTTTATGGGCTGAATTGTGCCCCTTGCAAAATTCATATGTCGAAGTTCTAACTCCTGCTACCTTGGAATGTGACTATACTTAGAGTCTTTAAAAAAGGAATTTCGTTAAAATTAGGCCATTAGCATGAACCCCAATTTGATATGACTGGTGTCCTTACACAAAAAAG